CAACGCCTCATTACAATACCCAAGAAATGAAAGAAAGTAAAATTGAAGGCACAGCCCGGAAATTGTTCCAAAAGCCCTCCGTACACTTACACCTGTCGGTAGTTCAATTCAGCACTGAAGAATGGGCCTGCATGTGATTCAGAGAAACTCGCTTTATTCATTATTTAATGTTCTTGGTCTTTTTTTTTTTTTGAAAGGGAAATATATATAATGTACTTAGGAATTCATAAAAACTACACGCAACGCTAAATATATTTGTATGGATTTTCTATACGAAGAATGTCTTGTTTCATACAGTACTATCAGTCTATGCAGGCTACTACAATAAAAGAAGAATTAAATAATGCCACTTAAGCCACTATTGCGCAAATTTACAAAACATAATATTCATATATTTATGGTATGGTGACCAGTTACACACATAAACTAATTTTCTCGTACAATTTTTTTCTATAGCGTTATACTATTTACAGACAGACGTATGTAGTTGTACTAATGACAACATTTTAATGTTTGTCAATGAAAACAGGCCTATCTAAAATCAACATTCACGTAAATATTATGTTATTTAGCGTATATTTCGCTAAGAAGCGACGAATAAAGGAAAACTGTTGTTTCATGTCTCATTTAACAATTTCTGCAAAGAAATAATGAACCACATTGCTTATATGAATCACATATTTCGATACTGTACACCTCTCTGTGTTGAAAATACAAACATGGCTGTACTTACCGACGCTACCACCGTCAAGGGACAAGATGCGACGTTATCTGATACAATGCAGGAATGTTTGTGTTCTCAATAAATGTCCAGCGAATTCAGTATCTAAAACAATACTGGGAATCAAAAAATCTAAACCTTATTCTCTCGGAAACAGTAAAATGATTAGACACAAATAACGTTCCGAAAACAATAAACACGAGCTATCACTCCACGCACTAGCTACGTCATGTCCAGTGGTCACGTGATTTCGGCCTACCTGTAGAAACAACTAGCTTTATCGCTCAGGCGAACCGAACTGATTGCAGAAATTAGCTGCAAGTAACAACAGTAACACGAACAACAACAATAATCGTTTAAATATAACACAACACCAAGTTATTTTACTGAAACATGTCCACGCTTCTGCACTGACAGCAAACCGAAATGCAGCAATACTCAAAACACACGATAGAGGGTGAAGAAGCATACAGGAGTGGCAACAGTGTAGAATGAAATCTGAAAACAAAACCACTAATTTACGAAAATACACGATTACAGCCAAATGCATTTGTGGTATATAACCAACAAATCTGTTTACCAATCACGTCATAACAAAAAATAACACGTTTTTTTTAATCTGTCCAGGCGAAAGGAAATTTTTCTTATCTTCCCCGAAACAAATGAACAGCAATCACAACCCACTCTCCTGGGCGCGTTCAGAACGACAGCAACACACGAGCGTAGAGCTGTTTTACAGTTCCAAGTAGCCCATACACATAACAGATGCTTTCGTTGTTTAGTATTTCGCTTCGTGCTTCAAATAACATTTAATACCAATGAAATACATATTTTGTAATGCACCAATTTTTTAAAATAATTATCCGCTTATAGATAACTCTGACACCGTCTTCATGTATTGTAATAAACAAATTTAATTTCTACGGAAAACTTAAAGAGCATTACGTTTAATTCTTTCTCTCTGGTATTTGCGATGACACGTACATAATGACGGACGAACAAAGAGAAATTATGTTCCCGCTCACTGTGCCAACTCTGTGAACTGTGAGTAAAGGACTAATATATACCGCGTGATTCTCATTTTTTTTTTGTGAATATTTTGTACGGGTGAAAGATTAATTACATAAGCAATGCCTCATCCGTTCTCTTGGGTTTCTGGACAGGATTTTTTTCGGTTGGTTAATGGCTAAGTACAATACGTGTAAATTTTTATTAAGAAACCACATCATCATCATGAACTTTTTAGGGTTTAGACAGTATGGCCTCTTCCTAAGATATGTCTTTAATCACAGTTCTAGTACTTTCGTCATAAGTAAATTCCGTCTTGCATACTTACTTGAGATTTCTTTGAGTAATTACTAGTCCCTGGATTGGTTACCACAGAAACCACATAAAATGACAAAAGGTACTACATAGGTATAATTATTTTTTGAAAATCGGTGAATAACATTTTAAATAATTTTTATATGATTTGAATAAAAATTTCCTTGGATATTATACATCGTCTAGTAAAATATAAAATATAAAACATGAAGCGACGTTTCGGAGATGGCACTCTATCTCCGTCTTCAGGTTCCTCCTCAGTTGGGCCCATTAGATAGAGCTAATCCCTATCTCCGGATAGGGATTTGCTCTAGAGTCCCAGCTCCGAAACGTCGTTTTACGTTTTATATTTTACTAGACGATGGATAATATCTAAGGAAATTTTTATTCAAATGACTCTTCACCATCGTCAAGAAGTTTTAGATTTTTATATGTTTGGAGCCTCAGACTAAATGAGCTTGTGAGTCATTGCTATAGGAGACGGAAAGGACTATTTAACAAATACTTTATCGACAGCCAATGACAAAACAAGCTGATGGTAGAGATTTTGTACAGATGTCTCAAAACGATGTATACACATTATAATACGGAATATTAACCTTGTGCGTTCATCTTTTTGGGACATCCTTTAGATAGAAGTAATTCTAACCACTTTACTGTGACGACTGGAATGAATTTAGAGAAACTTCTTTGTTGGTACCGGTAGCATGTTTGTAAACACCGAGACATTCATAAAGACATCACTCATTTTATATTACTGTCTCAAAGGGAAAATAGCCTTGTATAGACTTGAATGATCTTACAGAGTTCGCCCTGTATTTCTTTGTATTGTCAGCGTCATTTATCTTGGCGAGGAAAGTGGGGCCGGGAGAGAGGTTAGGAGTATAAGTGTACAAATGTGAGCTGACGTCTAGTGGCAAGACATCACGCCAAATTTCATGAGAATCCCCCAGTTAGCTCAGAGTACAAATGTGAGCTGACGTCTAGTGGCAAGATATCACGCCAAATTTCACGAGAATCTCCCAGCTAGCTCAGAGTACAAATGTGAGCTGACGTCTAGTGGCAAGATATCACGCCAAATTTCACGAGAATCTCCCAGCTAGCTCAGAGTACAAATGTGAGCTGACGTCTAGTGGCAAGATATCACGCCAAATTTCACGAGAATCTCCCAGCTAGCTCAGAGTACAAATGTGAGCTGACGTCTAGTGGCAAGATATCACGCCAAATTTCACGAGAATCTCCCAGCTAGCTCAGAGTACAAATGTGAGCTGACGTCTAGTGGCAAGATATCACGCCAAATTTCACGAGAATCTCCCAGCTAGCTCAGAAATATAAATGAGGTTAGATGAAAGTGTGATCCTCCTACCACATACAATTTGAAACAAAAGCGACCAACTATTATTCTCCATTATCCTTGTTGAGAACAACATCTGAGGTGAGATTAATATTGTTACAGGATTAGCTGTCAGTGATGAAAAGAATGTATTCAGAAAGCATTTAAAAAAAACCACGAGTTTGATGGACAGCGCAATTAAGCCGAGTACCGCTATCTCTGAGGGCGCTCGCGTCTCTCCGTGCCACTTAACATAAAATGAGCAGCTTCATTCATAAGCGGTAGTTGTAATAATGGTACCTATTACCATTAAATGCTTGTAAGCTCGACAAAGAAACAAACTCGGGTTGGCCAGTGTCGGAAGCCCTGACCTTTCGTCGTACATCCCCATCAGGGAAGTTAATCGGGCATTAACAAAAGTGTAATTTAAGGTTGGGTCCAAATGTAAAGACGAACAAACTGGAGGACTAAATGGCTCAGCAAGGTCTAAAGCAAAATCAATATCTCTCTCTCTCTAACCGAAGTTTCTAATACTTTTTCGTAGATTTGTCGTACTTTCCTCCCAAAACATTCCAGTTTAAATGTCGCGACATGTTTCAACCCTTTAAAACCCCAATGGAAATAAAATACGCAAATTTACAACCAGTAACCCTAATTTTAATGTATTTCGTACAATTCTCTGTGCAAATTGGGTTTATTTGCTTAAATAGCGTTAACCACCTAATGCTTGTAATGTGTTTTCTTTGCGGTTAGGAAACCTAAAAACACAAACCGTACGAGAAGCAATGAAGTGATCTCTAAAGTCATAATGTTCCTATTATCATACAAACCAGGCAGTTTGATAGTTATTAACGGGAAAACATACACAATACGTTATATTTTTCCTTCTCGAACAAATCTAAATTAATTCACTGATCTGGAATGCAGGCGTTTTAAACTTCCAGTATAAACATTTGGACATGACCAATGTTATTAGCACAATCAAATAAAAATGTAAATTTGAAAGCTTGTATTTAAGGTGTTTACGTTCTGAACCCAATAGTTCCGCTTCTGTTACACACGAATATGTAATGATGTTTTATTTTTTCCCCCGTCTTTGCATGAAAATGTAAAACAAATCGAAGGGTCGAGTCACAACAGCCGGATGAGACCTATTAATTTTCTAAAACCAACCAACATTGAACGATACTTGAATTGTTACAGCCTCTCAATACCTACCCACTTTTCCTGTCATTATAAAAGATGGTATCATGTTCACGTGGTTTTCATTATTAGCATTGCCAGGCCATCTGGTGTTGAACACCCAGAACTACTATAACCACGCCTCCACCGCCCTTCTGAAAATGCAGGTAGCGTGCGTATACATCAATTTTCTGGATCAGTTCGTATGGCTTCAATTACGTTATTATGATTAGCCAGCGTTTCAGATTGTTATCAGATTAATTGTGAGCTTGGGGGGGGGGGGCAGAAAACAATACAATACCCAACCCATTCTTTCAGTGGGGCTTTTGAAATAATGGGTAAAATGAAGTGAGGTTAGAACAAATTTGTTACTTTCAACTTAATTAACCAGCCTACAGGAAGGGTTAAATGACGTCGTCTTGCATATTAAACAAAAACAAAATTCATTTACCCCCCTTTGACGATCCTTAATTACACAATTTATTTCATTTTCAAAGAGGAAGGCTGAAATAAGTATCCCTTCTCATTCAGGAAAATGAGATACTGCAACACAAAAGCAAAATTAACTAAGTCCATGGAGCAAAGTCCTCATTGAGAAGCTAATAGTTGCTCATCTTTTATGGAAACCACAGGTTCAATACCATGTTCAAAAGAGCCCACGATGTCTCTATCCTGAATGAGACAAATTTCCCTAAAATTACAACACATTTCAACACCAAAAATCCCAACTCAGTATCACTAAATCAAGTTGCAAAACCTATCAAAGCCTAAGATGATGTACCCGAGACGCAAATTCACAGATACAAAGATAACTCCTTGGGGGGGTTCAATCCTACCTAAAATCATTAAAATATGCCCTAAATATATTCTTTGGCAATGGGCAATAAAACTCACCCACAGTACTTTATCCCATCGGCATATGAATTCCATACGCCAATCAAAACTTTACCAAGTGCCTTCCTGACAATAACGTAATGAATGGCATTAACTCTCGGATGACGATGCAATTTCCAACTTCTGAAAAAGAAGACCACCTTAAAATATACGACACAACTTGAAACTTGCCCTTTATTATTATTAACCTCTCATTTAATAATACAGAGTATGCCAAAAAGCAGTTTCACAGTTTTGAAAACCTGTTAAAGTTTACTATTACTAAAATAGTAGTAAAGCATCCCACTAACGCCATCTAGGCGCACTGGGGGAGTGGAGGTAAAGCTCCTACTCATTCTTGACCTCGGCACTAGATGGGGGTGAGTGGTCAGCGTCACGCCCCGGCCGTGTTTTACCCCTGGAAAGGACACCGGTACCCATTGGATAGGAGGTTGGGAGGACCCCAGAGCCGGTCTGGACGCAGAGGAAAAATTCTCTGCTGTTGTCAGGGATCGAACCCCGGTCATCCAGCCTGTAGCTAGTCACTATACTGACTGAGCTATCCCGGCTCACAAGTTTACTATTATGACACAGAAACAAGTTGTGATCATGTAACTCTCGCAGAGAGTCCTTCACAATTTTCTTTTCATTCATCTCTAATGCTTATCTCCTTACACCTATCTATATCAAATGCCCCATATTTTTGGTCCAAAATAAAGTTCATTATCTACGAACATTAACGGACCCGAATGATGATCACTCGGCAAAATTCTGAAAGTAGAAACGACCTAAACTCAACTTTGACGATCTTCACACTGCCCCATCTGACAAGCCTTCAGAATATTATGATTGCTTCCCAGTATTCCAAGCATTCTATCCATCTAACACTAAAACCTCAACACAATAAAACATTTAATTCTAATAATGATCCAAACCCCATTTTCACAGTTTTGAAAACCTGTTAAAGTTTACTATTACTAAAATAGTAGTAAAGCATCCCACTAACGCCATCTAGGCGCACTGGGGGAGTGGAGGTAAAGCTCCTACTCATTCTTGACCTCGGCACTAGATGGGGGTGAGTGGTCAGCGTCACGCCCCGGCCGTGTTTTACCCCTGGAAAGGACACCGGTACCCATTGGATAGGAGGTTGGGAGGACCCCAGAGCCGGTCTGGACGCAGAGGAAAAATTCTCTGCTGTTGTCAGGGATCGAACCCCGGTCATCCAGCCTGTAGCTAGTCACTATACTGACTGAGCTATCCCGGCTCACAAGTTTACTATTATGACACAGAAACAAGTTGTGATCATGTAACTCTCGCAGAGAGTCCTTCACAATTTTCTTTTCATTCATCTCTAATGCTTATCTCCTTACACCTATCTATATCAAATGCCCCATATTTTTGGTCCAAAATAAAGTTCATTATCTACGAACATTAACGGACCCGAATGATGATCACTCGGCAAAATTCTGAAAGTAGAAACGACCTAAACTCAACTTTGACGATCTTCACACTGCCCCATCTGACAAGCCTTCAGAATATTATGATTGCTTCCCAGTATTCCAAGCATTCTATCCATCTAACACTAAAACCTCAACACAATAAAACATTTAATTCTAATAATGATCCAAACCCCATAGATATACAGTGTGTCCACAAAGTCCCTTTGGGGTTTTGAAAAATTGTGGTGCGCAAACAAATTGAGCTGGCCATATGCGGTTTGCGGCAGATTACAGTGAGACTCTGGAAGTTTTTTACTGACCTCAGTAGACCTCGATGTGGGCTCCCTTGGTAGCATGGAGAACGTCCAGACGATATTCGAGCTCTTGCCATGTTCTGTGGAGCACGTCTGCTGGAATAGCCGAGATCGCATTCCTGATACGGGTCTTCATGTCATCAAGTCCATTAACTGGTGTTCGGAACACATTGCTCTTGACATAGCCCCACAGGAAAAAATCCAGTGGTGTTATGTCTGGTGAACACGGCATTGGACCGTCTCTGCCGATCCGTCTTCCTGGAAATGTCCTGTCTAGGTACGCATGTACCTGCAGACCCCAATGAGGTGGAGCACCATCTTCCAGAGTTTCACTGTAATCTGCATGTGGCTAGCTCAATTTGTTTGCGTGCCACAATTTTTCAAAACTCTGAAGGGACTTTGTGGACACACTGTATAGTGTCATCACTCTGCATATGGTCAGCCAGCTTCACATTTCCCTTTGCAAGCCAGGGACTGTATATCGACCCTGTTGGGGTGGTGGGTGTCCTGGGGGAGGAGGGTGACCAGCTGGACCAGCCTGACTGTACAGCAAGCGTCCGCTCGGTGCTTGTGTCACGTACACACTCTGCAATTAAACAGTACTGCATTCAGTGAATGGAACTTCCTGAAATAGGAACATACATAATATAACACCATACCAGTTTCAAAAATAAACAAGAAAACAAAAATAATTTTATAATTATCACAAAACTGGAACACACAGAATGATTTCACACAATTAAAAATTTGGACACTGCACATCTTAAGATGCCTTGCAGCATTTCAGATTCTGACTATGAACCATAAAGCACTAACCACTTTGTTGGTATTAATACTAATCATATAAAGTACTTACATGCGGTGTAGAAACATTAGGTTGGTAACTTCCTGTTGTAACATGAGAGGGTGCATGGGGAGGTGCAGGTACAGGTTGCGCCCGAATTGGATACCCCGATGTTATACCACCAGTCTTGGCACCCTAAACACAGATATATACAAATCACAAAAAATTTCATCATAAGAGAAAAAGATATAACCATCAGTTCTATAGAGCGTTGGCCTCCGCACATTCTTAACCTCAGCAATAGATGGAAGTAAGTGGACAGCTTCACAACCTGGCCACTTTACCCCCAGCATCCATTAGACACGAGACCGGATGGGCCTCAGAGCTGGTATGGACGTGGCGATGAACAGATATATCTACTTCTGGAAGGAATCGCACCGTCCATTAAATTATCAAACACTGTGCACGTCAGTAGAATTTCACTGCGTGCGTGAAATATACCTGTGGCGGTTGCTGTATAGGGATGGCTCCGCCGTGTATCGGGACGTGAGTTGCTGGTCGGATAGGAGAAACCGAGTAATACTTCTCAGCTGCTTCCTGGGCAGATGGAAATCCTGTCTTTTGTGCTGAGTGTTCCATGGGCTGATGAAGTGGACTTACGTACGCTATTGACAACAGTGAGAAAGGGGCTTTTATTTCTCAAACTACCATAAGTAATTCATTCTTGTTTATCAAATGAATTAAGCTCCTGACTTCTGAGGTGTGTTTAATGTAGTGAGTGATCGTTCTAATAATAACTGGCGATGAATAAAAATCATGGAGCCTCTACTTATGAAATTATCTCCAGACTTCTGTCACATCCTCTTATGAGTTGATACATTCTCCTCAGAACACTGTTCTCAAATCACTTCAATCTATGTTCTTTCATTAGTGCTGATCCACTCTCCCCTTTTCAACAACAGTGGAAAGGGGGAGGAGGTGTTCAGTTCTGTATGTCGTTGGTTCACTTGGCCCACGCCCCTGAAAAGGGTGTACTCAAAACACAGCAATGTACAATTAGAAACAAAACCATTTACTTTCTTAAGACAAATTGTAATACATGCACGTTACACGGGGTCATTGATTACCCTATTACAAACAAACAAACTCACAAACAAAACATATAAGAACAAAATAAAAAGCCCTGCAACTCGGCTCGCTCTCAGCAACACTCTAATTCATCTCCCCGGCCTTGACCACCCCGAGGGACCAAGAATAATACAAAATCACGGTGGTGGCCCCGTCCACCAACGCAACAAAATCAATACCTATCTGGACAGGCAACCACAACATGAAAACAAATACAAACCAAGGTCGCCTCGAAGGGGGTGCCCAGCCAGAGAGAACGTTGCCGACCGAATCCGTAGCTACAGCCCGAGTGAGCGTCCGTGTGCTGGCAAGAAGAGGTCTCCCCAAATCGGCCCCCTCTCTTAAACCAGCCTAATCTCCCCACATGCATGCGCACCCCTTTCGAAAGTTTCGCCGTCACAACATCAGAGCCGAATGTAGTCGGCTCAGCGCAAACGACCCAGTTTCATCACATACATACAAAACTAAATGAAGGTTTTAATTTTTACATTTTCCGTTTCCATCGTTTTAAGATGCCATGAAACCTAATGTTGATATGATGTCATTGGATCTGAAGCTGGACATGGCAATATGGCTTCAGAAACCGTCTTTTACCTTGACTATGTGGCGGGATAGTAGCAAGGTTGGCTCGAGGAGGTTGGCCCAGGTACACACTGTGCTGAGTCTGCTTCCCCGTGTCATCACGAGGCGGTGCTGCAGCTGCTCCTGGTGGAGGCTGAGCATACTGAGGGCCAGTGTAAGTGTACACTGTCTGTTGCGCTGGTGATGGCGAGTAGCTCACCGTGGTGGCCGCTGGCACTTGCTGAGGTCCGTGAGGTGCGTAGAATTGCTGCGATCCTGTGTACTGAGTATTCTCTGTGAATAAATAATAAGTATACTTCAAAAATATTAAACTAAGACCTCAGAATTAAACACAAGTTAAATAAACTGGAGAACATGCTATTATCACCTGCGGCAGATATGATGATTTTCTTACATACACTGAAAACAATGCTTATTGTAAGTTTACAATTTTAAAGTATAATATTCATGTAACAACAAAAGAATACAAGAGAAAATCACAATATAAAGATAACCTAAAAATTCTCTGAGAAAGGAGCATGTTCAATATTTATAAAAGACAGTAACAAATACAAAATTATATTTGTGAAATTAAGAGCAAATTAAATTTTACAAATCTTGCTACGTAGCCTAATATTGTTAGAGTTATAACAACATGCAAAATGAGACGGGCAGAACATGTACCACATGACAAAGATTCAAATTACAGGTAAACCTCGATTTGTGCCACTTCAATTTGTGCCGATTCAGAATAACGCCAGTTTTGAAACCAGCAAGTCAAAAAGTAGAAACAAAAATATATTTTACTATTATTTATAACGTTTTACAATGTTTCTCGTACTGATTCTTACACTAAATCATAATTCTTACAACGCTGATTTTGAATAAAAATTATAAATACAGTCACCTCTGCACTCATTGCTAAGTAGTTGCGAGATAATCTCAGCCTGATAAGGGAGTAAGGAAAAATGTGCTCAGTTCGCTTCTTGTTGACACATTGAATGTGCTTAAAACTGTGTGCTACACGTGTTTGTGTTGTTGTTCGACCACTATTCTGCAGTAGCAACTGTTTTATATTTATAAATTGTAGAAGAGCCACCATGGCTCGTAAGAGAAGTGAATGTGTTGCTAAAAAGTTGCGTAGGTCTATTGCATTAGAAGATAAAATGGACGTAATTCATACAATAGGTGGTGATACCCGTCGTAATGTGTGCAGAAGTATGAGGTTGCCTCCTTCCACTGCGACTACCATAATGAAAAATTCATATAAAATAAAACAGTCGATGCAACAGGCTACGAGAGTAAGCGCAACGCAAGTGAGTTATAGCAGAAGTAAACTTTTAGAAAGAATGGAGAAATTACTGTTGCTATGGGTGGATGACATGAATCGAAAAAACATTCCTGTGACTGAAATTGCTATCATTGACAAGGCGAAGTCAATTTTTGAGGAACTTGAGTCGTCAATGTTTGGGTGCCGGGAACGCATGTCATTGACTTCCCATCGATTTACATTATAAAAAGAGTTTCAATTTACGCCGGTTCGTCCAGGAACGCGTCCCTGGCGTAAATCGAGGTTTACCTGTACTGGCCATTAAACCTCAAAAGTAGAGACCACTTGGGAGATTAAAATGTTAATGGAGATACCATTAAAATGAAACTTACAAAAATAGGGCATTATGGGATGGATTGCATCAGATAGGCCTTTGTGAACAAGGTAATAAACTTTCATATTATAAATAAAGTAATTAAAATTACACTTACTGTTCCACAAGACAGCTCGCCCGTATTCATGACCTCTCCTGCCATCATCAATTTCTGCAAGTAAAAAAAATCAATTCTTACATAATGGGTCTCTGAAATGCCGGTATCTACCTAAAAAACGACTTGGCATTACAACTTAGAACACCAAGTTCAATAATTCAATGTTATATGATTTGTACACATACTTTGCTGAGGATAAGCAGGGATGTTTACTGGTTTGAAGCCATACTGATGATAGTTGGGTGGAGGAGATGGACTTCGTGATCTTTTTAAGGCTCCCTGCAATCAAAGTTATCATAAATAAAACTGCGCAACATAAAGAGTTGTAAGCATAACAGATTTCTTCAACAATTTTTGTACATAAACAGACACTACTCAAATTATCTTACACATAACCTGAATCGCAAAAAGTCAAGAATTTTTAGACGTACATTCAATTCCCTGAAAGTTTTTGAACTTCAAATTTTTAACAGTTTAAACAATTTTAAATTTAGATTTTATGATTAATAATAACCAAATGCTGCTTCAAGATTTTAACTTCCCTACATTTCCTATTCGTAGTAGTAGAACTATTCTTCTTCTTCTATGACTCTCTGGTCCGTATTCGGCCCATGGCCTCCTCATTTCTCCTCTTCCATTCGGTCCTCTGTTAGGTCCATCTGTCCGAGGCTTTGATCGAGGTTTCGAAACATCTTCCTTTTTACGGTGCAAGGTTGTTAGCCTTGCGATCAACCCCCAACCTGGAGGACCAGGGTACCTGTCTTAGTCTGACCCTCGACCAATCTGGCTAGGGACGCCCTACCAGTAGCTATGCTACTGCCAGCATAAGTAGTAGAGCTATGCCAAACTAAATTTATTGTTTACTAAGAACTGAATGCTGCATGGCAAGTAAGAAGCATGTTCATTTGTTTGATTTCAGCAAATCTTTTATCATTCAGGACCATCCTTTCCCCATACCACTTACTGGTGGCAATAATGAATGCTGAGTGCCATGTGTTGGGGCAATCTTGTAGATCGGTGGACGTCCAGGGAGAGATAAATTCTGTTGCAGAAAGAGCTGCGGATGACTACTTAAAGCAACAGTTGGATAACTGTGCATGCTGATCATATTTTCACTGAAAACCCAAGATTAAGTATTAGATTACCAAAAGCTGTTATCATATTTTGGAATAACAGCCATTTCCAAGGTAAAAGTTCTATTTGACTTTTATACTACATGATATTTCTACTCTGTATCTGATATTTGGGATGTGGGACCTCTCAACTTACAGCTTCAACAATTTATAACCTCCCTCTTGGAGGCAGAAGTGTCAGCCTCTTTAAGACTGCATTCTGTGATCTGTTTTTCACAAAATTCTACATATAAAAGTGTAAAGAAGCAACAAGAATGATCTCATATCACAATTCATACCCATTTCATTTAACCTTTAACTGCACCCCCGTAACCCTTCTAACAACAAGTAACACAACACTGAAACATTGAACTATCTTAATGTATATTCCTGAAAAATAAAATATTAATAAAAACATACTTTGACTCCTTAACCAACTGCCTCCTTCGATTATCATCCTCATTAAGGACTTTCTTAAGCTGCAGAAATAGTTGATGTTTCTCATCTTTAAGCTGAGCTAATCGCACTTCCAGTTGTGAAATCTGGTCTCTAGTCTCACCAAGAGTCATCACATCTTGCTTCTGTTTACGTTCACGCTCCTTTCGTTGACGTTCAACCTCTGCATCAGCTTCTTGTTCTAAAATTGTATGTTAATTTCTTAGTCTTATATACTTAAGTATAGTTTGACCATTATAACACTTACACTGAACTGAAGCTATATTCTTGGAGCATCAGACTAATTTAGGGCCTTACCACAATATCTTCAACCTACTACTAATCATACTGAAAGCCACTAGAAGGATACAGCCAAAATAAATAAGCAAAATCAGGTTATTACCACTGTGAGACAGATTCAATTCCTTAAAAATGACAGATATGTGATTGCAGACACTGATTTGTTGATAAAAATGTTTAAAAAGATATACCTTGTTTCTTTTTTTGTCTCTCTCTTATTATGTGGTTTTTGATGGCTTCCCACATCGCTTCACTTCGTTTGGGCCGCCCCACAATAACTGCCGGCATATTTGAAGTTATTAAAAAGTCTGTGACACTAGGTACACTTCTAAAATATGTTCCAACTCTTCTTCCTATGTTTTAAAACCATAAAAATTGAAAACTTTTAGCATTATATCATGGAAAAATACACCACCAAAGCTGACATAATGCACGATACCTAAAGGCATGTAATTCTTGGCTAAAAACAATATAATTAATATTCCTGGTTGTACTGGCTCACGTTTCATTATACTTGGTGGCGTTTCACAGAATTACCAATGGTTTATACACTTTGCCATGCAATTCAATAGTAAATTTTTCAAACAAATCATTAACTCAATTTCACAGTGCTTGTTCCCAAGATTAACCAGCAAACATGAGGGCTACTAATCCATGCCTAACAAATTTCTGCAGCAACCAGACTTAGCCATGGTAACCCAACAATAAAAACTTTGGTATTCTGTGTTATCATCAATCACCACAGCCTGGAGTTCAGCTAATCCTGAATGAGGGGTTTCAGTCTTCTAAGTCCTCCAGTGTAGTACCTTAAATTAGGCTATGACCACCCCATTCCATACCTTCCCCAATACATTATCATCTGAAGTTACAGTCAAAGACACTGACAGTGCCATTTAATAAGCCACAATGTATGTCTAAACACGAAGGGAAGGACAAGAGAAGGAAACAATTATAATGGGAGAACTCCCATCACACACAACCCTTAATTCCGTATGTAGATATCTTCTACAAGTGTACATATATTTTGTATGGTTATACAGACGGAATGAAGGCCAAGGCTGCAGCTACAGCAGATGATTAATCTATTTCATTATTAATTCCAGTCGCAAAAACAGTGTTTCCACTAGTGGTGACTTACGTGTCAGGCTGACTGTCGGTATAAACGGACACATTAATATTACCTACTACAATTCACATAACCATCAACGGTCTACGTAAACATCAAAACCGATATACATCGTGTGCATAAACTCTCATTTCACAATGCTACCAATGCTATAAAATATCATGAAGATAACTAATAACAAAATCAAATTACTCTTCCTCCATGAAATCATGGCTTAGTGACCCATTCACGAAACATGCAACGTCTCCCTTTGTCTGTAATTATTTAATTTTCTTCATAGAAATATTTCTAAATACATTGGCAACAGTGGTCACTTGTGATCGTTGCGCCATCTTCCTAATATAATTATAATAAATGTGAAAATTCGTCTGTTGCCTGCGTGACCTGCAAGTAGCAGCTGTGGTCATTCATTGGAGTAGTTTGTTGGTAAACACTGAAGAGGCCCGGCGTTTGCTTACTTTTCAGGAACGCAACACTGTTCTTTTGTTAAGTGACTTGCATATCTTATTTAAACTAATAGTGTAAGTTGCTGGTTAGAAGCACCTGTTAGTTTACTATGATATTATTTATGAAAGTTGCAAATCGGCATTACTGCTACTTTGATTTTGCAAGGCCTTTTATACCTACATAAAACACCTGGATGTTACCTGGCCTAACCTTACTGTCAAACTGACCCATTTATTTCATTGCAGGGTTGATTTTACATCAATGTCATCTGACAGGGATGCAATGTACTATCCACCACCACCTCCACCACCAGTCTTGCCCTTATTATTTAACGATTTACCAAAATTTTCTTCAACATGCAGCCTCATCCCTTTGCATGCCAACTGTACTGTAGTGAATGTATTGCGATGTACTTGTCCACGAAACCCCGAACAGGAACTCCTTGATACCCGAAACAGACTGTGGCAATATGAAGGCACTAAGGATCCTCCACATATATCTTTTTACAGATACATTGAACCAATTCTGCAAGATGGACCAAAGTAAGAACTTATATTAAATATTTACATAGTTTAGATGAATTATGAACCTGAAAGCAGTAGTGATGCAGATAATAAATTATTTTGTATATTGTATATAGATGTGGCTTGGTGGCTCTCAGTATGGCCTCATCATGCACATCACATCCTCTGTCTGTGGAAGAGGTTTTTCAGGAAGCTCGAGCACGTGGTTTTACAAATCATGGTGAAATGTTCTCGGTAGATGACATGGCTACACTAGCACGAGAAATGTTTCAACGTAGCTGCCGTGAAGTGGAAGTACTGCTTGGTGGTCTAGGACATGATAAGGAATATGTTATTCGACAGTTGACACTAGGGAGCATTCTTCTTATTCCGTATCCTTTAAGTAATGACATTATAAAACTAACCCTTAATATTTAAAGTGTATATAATTCCATTCATTTTCACGTCTTGTGGATTAATCCATTTGCCAAGATTGATTGAGTCTTGGGTTATTTGACAATTTTTTTCCAACTGTATATACCATATAGCATTGAGTGGTATGTGACTAAAGCATTAGTGATGAATGAGCAAAGAAAAAGGATGAAAGCTGCTGAAGTAAAAACTATTGAGACCACTGTCTGGGCATACTTCTTGATAGATTGTAGAAGACAGGGTTCAGGACAAGTTAAAAAACAATAGATTACATTTAGAAAATACTTATGAAGATTGCTGTCTTCTGGGTTGTTACGCAGTGTAGTCTGGTAGATCTCAACCAATGTTTCAGAGGTCATGCTGCCAGAAGACAGCAATCTTCAGACCCACTGCTGTGAAAACCTCAAATCTTACAATACTTACGAACATAACCAGTTTCTGGTTAAGATAAGATCAAAACCACATCACTCCCAGTTGCAAGGTAAGTGCTGTACAAATCCCAGCTTGTCTGATAGCTGATGGTGGCTTTAAGATCTGTACAAATTGGACACCCTGAACCTAATCCAAAAATTTTATTATCATTGACAAATTTTCTGAGTGAAAGTACCCGTCAACTGTTACTACACATTCATTTAGCAAACATTTCCTTAGCAGGTTTATAGCTATGATGCAGATGCCAACCATTCTCCGTGCTGCCGGCGTGGCCACAAGGCTCATTGGGCTGTGATATCAGGAGTGATGCTGTCTTCTACAGCACAACGTACCTGCCATCTCCTGGCAAGGCAAGGAAAGAGTCGCCACCTTGCTGTGTGGTCATACGATGATCTGCAGCGTAGCAATGAGAACTTAGTGGAGTTGGACCCAGGTAGAGCTTCTGATGGTAGAGTGTATGTCCTGCCACCTGGTGGAGTGGCTGCAGGGCTAGGTGGCAGAGCTATCCTGCTTCATGATCTAGGATCAGATCAGAGTGTCATAGCACCCTCCTTGTGAAAGAGATAGGAGAGTATATGTCAGGATTATTTTACCTCTCGGTACTATCCACTCGGCATTACAACCTAGGGATATAACTTGTGAAAGAACTACTTGAAATGCACGAGGACATCGATAGTTTGGTAAAGTGAAACAAGTTTTGTACATTATTAGAAAGTGGCCTGCCTAAATCCGGTCCAGGATATTTTTCTCTACCCTTTCTTGAAATGCAGAAGATGTGGTGCTATATGTAAATGCATTTTAAGATTATGTGAAATTTTTTTTGCAAAATGTAACTGCAGAATTAGACACCAATGAAAATAACTGGTAGTATATTCATGTTCATCACAATATAAAATGATGGCAATCCATTTCCAGTAATGGGACTGGAAGAATTTTAAACTAATGTCTTGCTCCTTCAAGCACATGTACCAAAGGAGGAGGAAAATTAAGATGGAACAGGGATAAAATAGACCAGTTAATGTTTCAAGCATGCATTTAAGAAAATTTAAATCTCAAAGTTTTTGTTAATTTTGTTCAAGGCATCCCTGGAATTTTAGAAAAACGAGAAGTTCGTAAATTCTTTTTTTTTATAACACCTGACCGTTTATATACAAATTTATTTCAGAATTTCATTCAGTTTTGGGTCCGGACTAAATTATTCTGTGGTCAGTTCTCCTATTTTCTTGGTTTGGAACATTTCATTGAGTTAAAGATGCTATTATTTTTCCACTAGCAAGTGAATAATGCCTAGTAACTTTTCGTCCATTCAATGCGTTTTGACATTCATGAATGAAATACTTGTCGGTAGTGAAATAGAGGGATCTGATAATTAGGAGTGAAGTAGATAGTTCCTTTTGTTAAACTGTTTATACTGTAATTTTAATTAATATTAACACATTCAGCACCATTATTGGAAAAAAAAGTATTGTTTTTGCAGCCTACTTATATAGCACAGGTATTCTTTTCCTTTCACTGCTCAATTACATTACAGACAATCTACTGATATGCGGTTTTCATCTTTTGTTATAAATGAACCAAATATTGGTGTATGCAGGACATTACGAGATTAGAGATTCTTGTGGCAGTGAAGATGTTGATTGTGGTTACCTGCAACAACCCCCCATCATCAGAATTGAACCCTGGAGATGGAAGCAGTGCTTTTCTCCCAAACATCTGTAATAACCACATGCAAGATAATGTCATAATTCTGAAGACCACAGTCAATGTTCAGGACATTATGTACATCTGTTTTCCTTATTTTCACAATGTGAAAACGTTCTCTGGTGCATGCCAAGAGCACAGCAGTAGCAGTAAATGTGTACTGCATTTTGTGGTCTGAAAGTTATTTGCATAAATTAGTGCAAATCATTTCATGTGAAATAAAGAGGCACCAGTTGGAGCATAAATTAATTTATAAGAATACACATCATATCTAGTGAAAATCTGACATACATACTTCCCCTATGTTTAGGCACCATATCCTCAAGGCAGTATGTGGAGGTGTGTTGTCAGGTTCATGCTCCAGCTACATTATCCCTGATGAAAGATGCCCCAGTATCTATTTATTTGTGATTTCTTTAATAACATTCTCAGTAGGTCAGACTATATGATTTGGAAGGATATGGAAGGAAGAGGTCATGGCCTAATTTAAGGATCTAGCCTCGGATTTGCCTGGAGGGAGTGAGAAACCACCAAAAAAAGCTCAGTCTCCAGGCTGATATTTGAACATGGGACTTACCAAATATGAAGCGGGAGTGCTGACTGCTTAGCTGAAATGTTTAATCCCTAGTGTCCACTGGATAGGAGATTATGGGTCCTGGAGTTTGTCAGGACGTTGCATAAAAAAATCCTTGTTACACAGTCCATAACTCCACTGACTTAAGTATCTTTCCTCATTACAGTCAACAGCTTAAGCATCATCAGATAATAGGATGAAAAGTATAAATACTGCAAAGGCAGCCAACAGATTTATTTCCCAATGCTGAATGTGTTAATTAACATGCCTAGTCTACAGAGAAAATGTAAGGGTTAGGTGCAGAAGGAATGAGAACTATAACATAGTCACTGGTAGAACACTGCTTCAGAAGTTTTCTGTCACCATGTTTACAGATGTTCGTCATGCACCATGAAGAAAATGAAACTGAATTATTTTAACTAATCACATCCTGAAAATAGAACAAAACTGTAAGTAACAAGTAGGATTATGGAAATGATAATATATATAATACCAACATGAAATTTTAGCATAAAATGTATTATTTAAAGTGTGAGTGATGAAGTGAAATATTTATATTACATTTACGAATGGGCTTTTTCTTCTTTACTTGTTAAACAACCTACTTCAATGCATTGTTTTTCATTAACAATCCCTCAGATCCTATTTATAATTGAAATTCAGTAAATTATAAAGTTTGCTACTAAAAATCCTATTTTCCTTTTCACCACCACATAATTATGATGAAAATATCATACAGAAATGAATTATGATATGTGCAAATATACAAACAAAATGACAGCTTTAACAGTTTTGTACAAACAAAGTAATATACCAAGTCAGTTTCATGATATCCAAAGAACATTACACCTTTCACAAAATGATACTGTATACTACACATCTGCCACTTTGTATATTTTATTCATTAAGTAAATTCTTTTGAATAATCATTATAATGTAGTGCTTTTATACCTTGCTATTAATAATATTTGCACAGATATGTCAGAAGTGTTTTACAAACTTGCTTTCAAATGGCAGAGCAATACAAACTTAGGAAGACATGGGGGGGATATGTCACAAAATGGGACACATGATGTTTGAAGGACTGCAGAACAGAGTTATTTAATGTGGAATTGCTTCATTACCTCCTTGGGAAGCATTATCTGAAAGTTATGAGAATGTGTTCAATTTGACAAATATAGTGTACCCAATAGAGAAAGGTATTCTGTCCTGTGCTGACCAAAAACAGGGCAAAATAGGAAATGATAGAAATAAATTATATTGAATAATTGTAATGTATAGAAGGTAAATAAGCATGCTTTCACTGTTAACACTATCCACACCTGCACATGAATTACATCCCTATTTGTGGCAAGATAATATGCTAGTTCTAGTATAAAAGAATTTACTTGTTGATCAATTAATATACACTTCCCGTATACTGACAACTGTCACTGTCATATTACACAATGTTTTTGATCTGCATTATTCCAACGCAAGATTAGGTGCACATTGACTTAGTGCTGCAATTAATATTTGTAAACATACGCATTTTTAAAAATTATTATTTATTAAGAATTATCAACATTACGCTTTCAATAGCTGCCAGAGAAAATCGACACAAAAAAGATTTACTTTTGCAGGTTATGTTATTCTGGGTTGTAATGTTATATAGTCGTAGTCAATATTTGTTCCTAATTTTTGAGCCCACTAACAAAAAGGGAATACCAAAGCAAAGAAGATTAATGCCTGCCGTGCAAATAGGAGTACATTATGAAAGTTGGGATAACCTGAGTTTGTCTACAGATTGTTCATTTCTATTCTATATTCCGTATCACTCACGTGGAAGTTTCAGCGACCACGAACTACACCGTATATAGTTGAAGTAGAAATGACAAATATTCAGTTAGTCTTATAACGAGTAACTGTTCTTCTTTCATATTACGTAAAATATCCTCTTGACACTTACCGCAAATGTTTATAATCTTTCAAATCATATTTGAACATTTCACTCAATACACCCAGCCATAACAGCAATCGAAACTAGAACCAACTGTCCAAAGATTATCGTAGAATCGACCATCTCTCGAACAAAAAATTTTAAAAGAATCTGAAGGCCTAGAAGACCTCAGATGGTATCTGTGGATTAACCTTGCAACTTATGAAGGATTATTTCGTCGGTCATAAGAATTGTAACGAATTAATCCCTCGATTCGTTACTTACGTACTATGATAATCCAGGCAACACCCTTGGCCCAGTTTTAACAAGATCCATTTTAATACCAATTATCCTCACACCTGCATCCAAATGAATCTCATTTGAACCACTTGATTTTGGCTCTTTTCTGATGATTCATTAAAACACTTAAGTTTATGTAATACTTTTTTTATGATTCAACAGGGAAGGAAAAATAGACTTATGTAAATGAATGAAAGCAGTTGAGCAAATCAAGGATACCAGTACATACTAGTGTAAATGAATGAAAGCAGTTGAGCAAAGCAAGGATACCAGTACATGCTACCACCACAAAAGTACACAGGTACTATGCTACAATACAAAATGTCAATTATTATTAGTCTGCATTATTATTATTAATGCAACATAAATACCTCATTTCTGGACTTTGGACACTTCAGAGTCTGAATCCAACAGGTTTCAACAGGCCATCTCTGGATATCTCTTTGAAAATCCTCATTTGGCAATTTTACTGCACACAATCATTCTACACCAAAATCTGTATTTGTCTACTGTCTCGTGTCCACTTCCCCATGTCGGCAATTCTGCAGGTGTTCTTGTCTGCCATATGACTTCACCTGTGACCATAAAAGTTCAATTTAGTCTTAGTGGCAGTGGTGTTCAGTTCATGGAATTTATAAGGCTATTTATCATAACTAGCTGCAGTAACTCTGCACATTTGTGAGGCCATGTAAGAAATGTTTACTGGATAAACATGCCATAATGCCTACTTGCCTTGTGTCTGCATACAATTTCCCTTCCAATAAAAGTGAGCTACAGATGGGATTATCCATTACAATACTGGACTCAGGAAGTGGAATGGGAAAAACTACTAGATAGACATTTTAAAAACCCCTGATATCATCTGGCTGAGATAATTCATTAAGGTCTTTGATTTAGAACAAAAAAATGATCTTGCTCTGTGGAACAAATCCTGTCACAGCTAAACAAACATTACATAACAAGACTTCCTTTGACGACTAGGATCTGTAAGCCACCAGAACCAACGCTAATGTGCCGTATTGTTTTGGTATACTTCTGGTCTAACCAAGCTTCATTCAAGTAATACATGCCAATTCGATCAGTGCCTAATTTCATGCATTTCTCGGACTCCTCTTACGGCTAGAATACCACTCTGTTCAATCCAAAGCTCTCTTCTATTCTTGCACTTCCTATACCAGAAACACATACTCTTCTTCATTAATCATAGCATGGATTTTGTCATGTGTCACATCATATGGGTGGCTTCGCTAGCCATGAGCCACATCAGTATACTGATACAGCTCTAACCACAGAGTTGAAACCAGTTAGCAGCTCTGCTCCTACTACGGGGATTTAATTCCCGTGCTCCCATACAACACAGCTTAATTTGCTGCTGAAGTGACAAAATGTTATACTTAAACAAAATATAAATATACCCTAGGAAACATGTGAGATAGTTGTAAAGAGTGCTTTCTGAGGGAATCTGGGAGCGCTGTTATGAAGAATGATGGATCACACACACACACACACACACACACGCTAGAATATAATGCATAACATCAGAATACAGCAGCACACTGCTTTATAACCTTACTTTTTTCTGTCTTTTCTTTTTCATGTTGTACATTATTTTTACTGTACATATAAATACAACTTTTGTTTTGCTGCGTCTTTTTAACACTGTTATCAGGATATCAGACAGCTTACAATTTGATTATAGAACAGTAATGGAAACTGTTACTTTAGGCTTGTCACACAATGAATAAGGATACTATATGGAGAACACTAAATGTTCTAGGTTAGCACTTGTATGGATATTTAAGAATGAGCTTTTCCAACCAATACCAAAATTTTAGGTCTGTTTCTGCCAATTACATGTCTAAACAATTGTAACTTCCCACTTTTTAACTTTACCTCTTATAAAATTAAAGAATGTATTCAAAATATATGTATAAAATATAACATTGGAAAAATAATACTTAACTCATACACTCAAAACTGTATAATTATTTCAATTCTATTAAAGTAAAGCATAACGATACAGCATATAAAGCTTGGCCATTGCTGTATTTCTAGTTTGAAGCAATATTTGTAAGTCTGAAAGTTGCAGGTAGAGGTAAGTACAGAATGTTTCTAAGATACTACACAGTTGCTGATTATAAAGGACAGTTTCAACAAGAAATTTACACCTAAAAAGTGAAGAGGGGAAAAGAATAACACTTTGACAAACGTACAAATACACTAGACCACAATCACAATCGAAAGAACAGCTTTGTACAGCATATATAATGAACAATACATCTTTCCTGTACACACATTCCTGTATCTTGCCACATGTCAAAACACAAAATTAATCATATTACAACTATGTATCACTGAAACAAATTCAGGTTTTTACCACCTTTACCATTTTGTAAAAGGAAAATTAAATCCTGATGTTCATATTCTGGAATGTCACATGTGCTACATAACTGTTGTGACATCTGCTTTAAGAAATTGTAATGTTTGCAAATTTACACACCACTGTCTACATATATTTATCAAATTTAATATTTTTGATATTCACCTCTCTCTACCATGAAAATTATTGATCACAGCATAGCAATACTGCAATTAAACAGTATTTACTTGGGTATAAAGTCTGTTTAAAGTAGAAAAAACATACTCAAACCAAATCCGAATTCATTTTTGCTTTAATCACTGGCTCACTATAAACCCCCAGCCTTTCTAACAATAACTGTAATCAGTTTCACATGTAAATACAATTTCAAATTAGAAACTGGAAGCCAAAATGATGTGACTGCCCATCCACATTCCTCAAGTAAGAGTACAGTGTATGTGATCAGGCCTGGCAGTGGTTCTTGAAACAGTTTATTAAAATATGAATCCCATTGTGCAATGTACTGAGCAATGAGGAAGAATATGCTACAAGCTAACTCTAGCTATTAACTTGCCTGTCTATCAGAGTGCTATATTACTGAAACCAGAGTTACATAGCACATTCAGTGGGATATGATTTCTAGGTTATGTCCCATTCTCAAATATGTTTGGAACCTTACATGCTCATCTTCACTCCATTACTTCTTCTTATGCAGTACATGTCCATAACATACAAGTAATAAAAATGAAATCCACATGTCTGGAGAATGGGTATGAGGAGGGAAGGAACATATCTGTGTAATACATAAATTTTAAACTTTCCTTTCATGGAAATAACAACAAATGAGTATTGTCCATGCACTAAAAATGGGATATATGCAGCATTAGTATGGGAAAGACTACAATACCTATGGATACTGCATAACGGACCAGACTGCTTCATCATGTACAATTACAAAACTGAGCTTTCATACCACCCAAGACAGAGAGAATCCTATGTAACTTAATATATTCCTGCCACGTTCCTTGTTGAAGGAAATTCATTGAGTAGACCAGCTCCTGGTGTATGAGAAATGCCTCACGGCACAGAGAAAAACTGGTTTTGGGGGGCTTGTAACCACAGTGAAACTCACGTAGTTCCCACTTTTACCGTCATTCCAACAACGGTGTTTGCTGGTCCCTGAAATACATAATGTTATAATATCCAGTTCTTCATTTATCAAATTATTTTTTCAAAAATTAAAAGCTGACTGAGGAACTATCTAGAGTTAATACACATGCACACATATGCCCACATACACGCACAAATTCAACACTCATCCAGCAGCAGAGATTAAACTTGGAATCCCACTTCTATAAAGTTTTAGTGTGGCTTGCAAATTCAAGTCACATTCACAGCACTGACGTCAGTGTAATTAACATCTATGAGCCTGATCCAGGGAAAACGAAGAGTGTGACCCACGCACGCATCCTGCTGGTCCGGACTGCTCTCGCTGGCAGCTGCTGTGGGTCGCATTTCAGCTACAGATTCGCTTCAGGAAAGTTGAAGAGTGTTATGGGGAAGTGTTTGATGTGTGTCTGCCATTGTGCTGACAACTGGAAGAACTTGACCCCAGACCACTCTGTTCCATCAATGCTCACTGCAAAAATGTAAGATTTTCATAAGCAATAATACACTCCACTTTAGACCCACAGAATTCTGCTCATTAGACACAGTAGCATTTTCAGAGCTGCTGTATGAAGTTCCATGGTACAAAATGCAGTCATACACTTATCTTGGGTAAACTGTGTCTAAATTACCTTAGATTATGTCACAAAACAGCAGTAACCTCTACTAAAACTAATGTGCACAAATGTTTTACCTTTGAGAGGAATGGAGTGAGTCTTAGCAGAACAGATGAGTCTTGAAACGCCTTCAACAACCTGACTCTTAGGTTCACTTTCTTTCTCTTTCTCCTTTTTCTTACCCAGACGCATAACTGTAAGTAAATAACGGAGAACATTGCACCTGTTTCTTTATGTTCATTGTCTGTGATACATCGCATGCCGCAAACTTTGCAATGTTTTACTTCCTGGTCTGTACAGCAACAAACTTAATCTCTTATCCTGAGGTAAAAACATACGTTGCGGGTGTTTCAGAACAGGATGTTGAGGACAATATTTGGACTTAAGAGAGAGGAGGCAACAAGAGGATTAAGAAAACCTGATAACAACAGGAAAGAAGGTTACACAATTAAAATCGCAAACAAATGCGATACAGCACATTATGTCAAATTCCTGCGTGCAAGCAAAGTTTTTCAAAGTGTGAGATGGGCTAACATGGTTAACATGTCCACTCACTTTTTTGCTTCTTCTCCTTTGTAGAGTAGCTCATGAGAAAATGTTGTGTTGGATGTTCCCCAGCAAGGGGAAGTCTTTGAATCTGTAGAGAACGGAATGTTGTCTTCAACGTTGACTTTGTGGTGTCACCCTTGCCGCTTTTGCTGACTACAGGCGCTTCACTCGCCTTGCCGGGAATCAACCAGTAATCTAACTGCAGTTCCATGGGCTCAGAAAGAGACTGGTCCCTGTGCAGTTACAAAACATTTATCACTTCACTCTCAATGCATCAATGTCTTACAAAGATTATGAAAAGAAAACACTTTTGGCCAAAAGAAAAAAAAAATCAACAGATATACAAAACCAGAATTAAAATCACACATACAAGATTTACTATAGAAAAATGGAGAAGGATCTTACAAAGAGGAGACCACCCTGGTGGAACATAACGAACTAAAATGATGGTGATTTTTAAATTTCAACCTGAACATGACCAATTACAACCTATAAGATTACCAAGGCCAGTTATGTTTGCTGGTTTTTTGGCTGTGTGCACATACAAAATCCAATTACGAAGTTCCTATTCCAAAACATGGGGGGGCCCCCTTCCCTGACTGTAAAAGAAATTTTTAGTTTGCACAGGATAATACAGATATCTCACCTGTTTTGTCCTATATACAAGCTGTTGATATTGGGTGAGCTGGGCGGGGTAATGCGGTCTTTTTTGTCTGGAAGAGACACAAGGGAAGGAGGTGAGCCTGACAACTGGGGAACACTCAGTTGGACCTCTTCCAAATCTACTGATGCAGATGTCGAGGACTCAGGTGATCCTAGGCGAACATCCTGCAACACATCGCGGACAACAAATCATTACAGGGTAGTCACAAAGAGATACTTTAAATTTATTTAATAAAATAATAAAATTTCTTGTTTCCCCATTACAGAAATGTATGTCTACGTAACCTAGATCACCAGACTGAGTAACTGAGGTTGAGGTTAGTTCTCTCTAACAGCCTCAATGAGTAAGTGTTCTTAAACGTTTCACTAGAGAATGGAAACAGATCCACATTCCAAAACATTGTGTTCTTTCACGAACACTAGACAATGGACAGAGTCTAGATATCCAGTAATAGTAACTGTAATATACCAAAGTCAGAATCAATTACAACTGATACCAGTAATAGCATATTTCTCTGTTTTAATAATAAATAAACAGTACACCTTGCTTGTGATACTTACATTAACAAAGGGAACAAAAATCTGAGAAGATTCCTCATCAGAACTGGGGGCAAAAATGCAATAAAAAACATTAGTATAACATACTGATTACGCTACAGATCTTTGTAATTAGAATTGACTTTCAAGATGCTTATGTAGTAGTATTCTGTTAATTTTATATTGCTGTGGTCTTTGTGCTGGCAAAACAGTGACACCAGACAGAGCATAAAGTAAATGCATGATGCAGAGTTTGCGGCTGTCCATCTCCACATTTCATAATCAAAATTAATGAACAGATTTTAATGAAATTTGTTCTCCTGGAGATTACACTAAGTTGCATGGCACTTTATATTATGATTCATATTAATTCCATATAATCCTCATGTTACATGAACTTCACATAAAACTTTATTAATTTCCACTGAAAAGCTCAGAAAATTTGGCGTGTAGAATAAGACGTATCTTATTTACATTTACACAATTGAAGGCTCACCTCTTTTCCTTGTATGTGATCATGGCTTCAGCTACGGGAAGTTGGATTGTGGCACTTGCGCTGTGCAGGTACCGATGGACTCGGTTTAACATTTCCTGGCAGTCTGTTTTCTGCAGCTCTGCTCGTTCTAGGAGTTCCTTCCATGTTTCTGCGGAGAAGGCTGATGCATACACGCCATCTAGACTGCTGAGGTAGCGTGCCAGAGAGTTGTTTCCTGCACAGGATACCACAAAATTTAGTCAAAATAAACCTTATGTTACATAAAACTAAATATATTATAATTTTTCCCAAAACTGGATCAACATTAAAAAAATATGTGTAAAGAATATGGACTTCAGTACAACCGCAACTTCATTTGAAAATTTGTCGGCATGTTTTATTTGTAGTAAGTAGATTTGCTGAACTAGATTTGTTTTTGCAAGAAATTAGTTTTCTGGGTTGTAGTAGTGACTCACCCAGTGGAACAATGAGGAACTTTATGTAGTTCTGCCACTCGGGAGGCTTGAATGACAGTTGATCCACATAGTTCCTCAGCACCGAGTTGACGAAGCTGTCCGACCCCGCCAACAGCACCTTGATTGGAGGTGGAGGCTTCGCGCTGCTGTTGCAGCTGAAACAACGACCGACTTACCCCATATTGGGATGGTGTTGCACTGCATTGGTAGCAGCATTTCCCAACAGAAATTTGGTATGTTTCACTCTAAATAAAACGCTGGGAAATGCTAATGAAAATGCATTCGGGCAAAGTTAAACATTAATAATTCATTTACAACATTTTCATGTTAGACCAATAACTATTTTCTCACCACCAGGCCTCAGTACATTTTCTATGGATTCAATTCCGACCTCCAAAAATAGAGTTCGGACAAAAATAAAAAGAGTAAATATATTATTTTAGTAAGTGGTTTGTGACAAGGTTCTTGTTTTCACAGAAATTCCACCTTGTGACAAGAAACATCTTTGAATACTTTCCTCTGCAAGTCCAGTGGTGTTCATTTGGTGCTTGTTAAGAAAGGCTTGGATCAATACAAATTACATTAAATGTAAGTCCTTATTACACAACATCAAAAATTTATCTTTATATAAGTTAACGGAGGCGTTTACGATAACCCTTATAATGGGATCCTCTGTAATGCACGTGTATATCCGCAATCATCTTACACCAATCAGAATGTTTCTTCTCTACTGAATAATAATGAACTTTAAAGAAATATACTTTAGCTTTCACCAGTAACCGAAGCTACAATATGCATGACAGAATCATAACCACAAGTGTTAATTCTGAGAATTTTCATATATGATTACAGAAATACTTTAGAAGAATACTCTAGAAAATGATAAGAATCTAAACAAAAATTGTAAATGCCAAATAAAATTCAGCTTGGAAAGGGATGATACAATGTTGTGGTATTTTATCAAATAATACAAAACAAAACAAGAACAATCCCAAGTTAAATATCCATGCGAGGCACGGAACTACCATGCTTAGCATTCTGACACACTTGGAAAAAGCCAACTAACTCCATGCAGCAGAATTCTTGAGATGGTGACAGATACTCGGCAAGTCAAGAAATTCCCTACCTTTTCTGGAACCTGAAGGCTAATTATTGTGTTCATAAGAACCTGACACCAGTCCCTATCCTAAGCCAGATGAATCCAATCTACATGTTTGGAAAAAGTATTATGAAAGATTCTGAAAAAAGCCTGTCAGACGAAGGATAACTGCAGTATCAGCACTGGTACTTTTAAAATTAAGCTAAACTTTAGTAACATATTAAGGTGCAGGGGTAATACCACCACAAGAAATTTAAATGTATCTTTATGTACACTGGGCTCAAGTTATAATGGTAGAAACATGCAGGTGTAAGGTTCAGCATTTGCCACATTCGACTGGCTTGGATGGCGTACATCCGAGGATACTCACAATTTTTGGATCTTGCTGACTAGACACGTGACAGCCGCCCTGATGTCTGCTGGGCCAAGAGTGCTGACGACCTTCTGTTGCCGTTCCTGCAATCTCATCGCCAGCAATGAGCCTTGAGGATCACCCACATTCACCAGGGTGATGTGATCTGGGATCGAAGCATCATCGGCTGGTAGAACCCTTGACAGCTGCTCTGTGAGCTGCTTCCGCGGCACCTGAAAAGCAGACCTTGGATGATGCGACCACCTAACCGACAACCATGTCAGCATATTTCGTTCACAGCAGTCACTGCACTGCATGGCGGACCACTTCTATCACAGAGGCACCATCCCTCCCAGTATTTTGAATAGCCGAGAAATTGATCAGAAATAAACCAACGAATAAACCTCAACTGACCTCACTGAGACTACTATCCCCTCCAACTGGGTTCGGATTCACTACTGGAGGCTTCTGTTCTGCACTCAGCGTCTTTTCAGCCTGCTTCTTCGTCTTCCCAGCTGAAGGATTCCGGTCCCTGGTAAACAACCGGCTTTTGCGTTCCCGTTCTCCACCATCCTGTAATTATTACAACATGTAAGATTCATTCTAATATTAACCTACTATATTTATTTAGGTTTCGTAAGTCATGTCTTACTTTAACAGTGCTGTGATCAAAATGTAACTTTTTTCTCTTATTAGTCGTCCTTTCTATATTGCGCTGCTATATAATAAAGGTTTAGTAAGTGCGTTATAAAATTATTCTCTCTTTTGAAACTAAAGATAGCAAAGGCATTACTACTGTATAATTAACAGCCATCTGCCAACCTAAGTGGATCCTAGAATAAACCTCTCTCTGCTGTCAACATGCATGGGTACATTCCGTCCATTCCGAAGCTGACACACAGTTTCTTGTAAAATAAGGCTGCCTCGTGATGTGCTCACCGACCTGACTAGCGAGCCTCACCTTGTTCTTCTCTTCGGAATTCTTAGGAGGAGAGGATGCGGCGGGCTGCTGTGGGTCACTATGCTCATGATCTGTCCAGTTTTCAGGATGTGAGTCAGAATCAGCTTTCTTGGAACTTTCGTCACTAAGCCTGTCCGCTCCTTTCTCTGAAATGTTCACATAAAGTGCCTTGTCACAGGACATCATAGAGGATCAAATGTCATGGTCACGTATTAACAATTCTACTTCATATCTGAGAGGTGCTAGTTTCAAATCTAAGCCCATAGATGAGCATATTGACTTAGGATTTCATGGTTTTCTTTGGAACCTCTAGGCAAATACTGTGATAGTACCTTAATATTATATGCTGGCCACTCGCACATACTTTCCAATTTATTATTCATTAATAACCCCATCATGCTAAATAACTTCAGCTACTAAAAAATTGTTCATTAAATAATGAGTAAAATAAATATAACGCATGACAGACCAAACTGAAATCTAGTGGACGAGACCATGTTTTTGACCAGATCGAGATCCCTTTATTAAGAAACGTGTTTGAATCCTTCACGCACATACATCATTAGAAACACACCATAACATGAATATGGCTATCTTCTGAGTTAGGCAACGATGGAGGCAGCAGCAACCTCTAAAATGTCGGCAGAATTCTACCACACTATACAGTGTACTATTATATCACATGACATCACTTTTTATCTTAATTATAAAGAATATTAATTGTATAAACCCAGATTACATACAAGAGATTATGGATATTACACTCTTGATAAATATATATTAACTGTATCACAGGGTGCTTACTGAACATATATGAGGAAGATTCCAAAATTATACAAACAACTGTATAGTCCTAAGTAACTATCCAAATACAGCATACAAAATAAGGATAAATATATGTTAAAGTTACTGTAACATTTTTCATGAAAGCCCAATTTGTGGTAAATCTATTATCTTATTTTCAAACTAGTCAGACTTAAACTTTCCTAAATTGGACTTATGTTAGTAAGAATTTCTGTTACTCAAAATTACTTGTACCCTTCAGGTTTGGCAGACTCTTCTTCAGTCACTCTGCATAGTGCCATAGTATGAAAGCAAAAGCAAAGGAACAAATTTCGGTGGGTAACTGCATCCACAAATCAACTGCAGACTAAATGTTCTACATGCAGGACATGGTTAGATATAATCGGCATACCTAAGAGTCCATTTCAACTCGATACATTTCTAAGACACTTTCTCATACAGGTGCAATATAAACACCAGTAACATCTGGGGATACAGTACTACCAACATGCAATGAACAACAATTTTCTAACCTGTGCAGTAAGTTTGTTGTGCGTGCTGGCTACCTTGGGGCAGGCAGACACGTGCGTAGGCTTGCGGGCCGCCTGTATGTAACAATAACTAAGTCAGCAAGTCACTAACAAACACAAACACAACACAGCAGAGCACAGCAGAACACAATACAACAAGCAACATGGCTCACATACGTATTCAGACGGCTTTTGCATCAATGCAGATAAACTGGGGCAATGGAAAAGTTGGAGGTGAATTCCTATTACAGGAGAGTCGTTTAGTTACATAGAGGCAGATATTTATTTAATGTTTTCGTGTTCAGGTTTTCCATCAAACACTTCAGTTTTACAGGTCACATTCTTTGCAGCGTATTAAAAAAAAGAGACTTAGTACTCACTTTTTATTATTTGCAAATCAGCTTAGCGGTTCACACAGGTTGTGTTCAAAACATGTGTCGGATGGAAGTAAAATTTCCCATACCTTTGCTACGCACTACGAATAAAATTGGTTCTACGGCAAACTCGTAATTTTTTCTTTCTAAACTTGGTGATACTGACATTACAAATGCTAATTGCAACCAAACACTTTCATAAATGGCGCCCAACTGTATAAACATGATACAGAAAAAAGACTGATGGAAATTAATGAAATTTGGTATGGGCATTATGCCATAGGTCACTACTCCAAACTCACATTTTATAACTCCTTACACTCCGTATTATGATCGTGACGGATGCTTAAATTCAAGAGGTGTCAGTGATAATCTGCACATGCACATCAATAACCTAACTCTCCCCAATTTAACCTAACCTAACTCAAGTAAGTTCCTCAGCCGGCCGGGGCGTGATGCTGACCGCTCACCCCCATCTAGTGCCGAGGTCAAGGAAGAGAGGAGCTATACCTCCACTCACCCCAAACGCCTACATGGCGTATAGTGGGACAAACTTTACTTTACTTTTTAACTCAAGTTCCTCACATGTAACAAGCATTTGTGTACATTTAAAAACAAGAGAGTGGCTATAAGTCTTTTCATGACATTTGGTATGGATGTTGAGCCAAGCATTCACTTTCTACTTTCCTACATTCTATAACTCCAGCTTGCTCATGCTCAAGCTCTCGAGATTGAATTCTTGTAACGTCATCATACAGGATCCACTGCGTGTGCATGTTGCCACTCGCATACATATTTTTGACACAAATATAAATTTGTACATATTACTTTGACTTAAGTCTGCAGTCATTTGTATTAAATTTTGTATATTAAATGCGAACAAAAACAAATTAAATATAAAAGACACCGCACAGACCTCAAAGACAGATATTGTATCAAAATAATGCCTGTAAATTACCAGTGACAAGTAGAAAGTGATAATAATTTTTATTGTTTAAAGTTAACTTTAACCGTTTAGAGATGGTGGGACATTCTTTAAATATATTTGGACTATTATGCTCCTAAGTACAGGATGGAAAAGTTTAAATCAACCTGAAAAATAGTATATGACAGAAACAAAGCTAGGAAATACGTTGAAACATGCACATAACTGGACAACAAATCTTATGCTGTAACTTACTCAATACAGCGTTCTATCTGAATAACATTCCCATTACATGCGGGCCTACAGTCAGATTACATTCACCAGCAACATTCATAACAAAAAAAAACGTTCTGAACAAGACAAATTAAACTCACGTACAATCACAGACCTTATCAAGAATATTACGTAAGTCTGCTGAACAATTTTTGAACACAAAATGAAAATCTGAATGTCTGTTAAAAAGTCTTCGTACGATCTACGTACTAGGCACATTATTTATTTCACGTCATAAGCGATCTACTGTCACATGTTTCAGGCAAAGCCACCCACTTCCAGACAATCACCTATGACCTATTGTTGCATATGATTTCAGGGGTCTAACTGAGATGACATTCTGCTACATAATTAAAGAGAATTGGAATCAACTTATCAGGTTACAGTATTTATTTATTTATGTATTGTACTCATGGAAAATACTTGTTTGTAAAGTATACAAAATAAGACATAATTCCACTAAAATAACTGGAACTATGACCTTCCAACATCATCTACACCGTTATATTAAGAAACGTGTTCTAGACGTGAATATAAACGGTAACGCTCAGTATAACATGACGGCGAAAGAGAAAACCGTAACTGGAATAATTGGCCACCACGAAATATCTTTTTTACATTACGTAGCAATGCTAATCCCTATACTGGTAGGAGATTACTTCAGATATTAAATTTAAAGGTACCTTGTTCCATGAGATTATTTTTACACGTGCGCTTAGTAGAAGACTTTTTATAAATTCTTACAAAATACAACAGATCCATAAAAAAGACACTCCTAACCAACTAAGAAGTTGCCCCTTAATCTCCCTTACTTTTCTGACACAAAAATGATTCTCTTAAATGACCTGAATTTCAGCTGTTATCACAAAAATGGATTTATGTCCGACTGATTTCCAGAACTGTCATAACGCAAAGTTCAAATCCCTGATCAACAACTTTTCATACTCGTAAACAGCAACTTGATTAGAAACCAGCGCGTACCATTTCAAAAGAGAACATGCAATTATCTCATTTAAAAATGATATTGCAAACTGAATTTCTAAAATACCATGCAGATGGCAAACACAAAAATAAAACAAACATTGCACATCAAATTTTAAATCACTTAGTTTCAAAATCTGTTACATAAAAATATGCACATATCAAAAGCAGACGTATTAAAAAAATTGAAAGAGTGAGGTGGTTGGAAAATTAATTTTATGCAGGCTCGCAAAAATGTCCCTTTCATCAAACCAGATACATAAAAATCTATATTCCTGGTATAAATTTATTTATCCAATTTTAAAAGCAAGGATAAGTAAATTAACATTTTTTACTTCTTATGTACACAACAAGTATACAATTTGTAATAAATATTTAATTAAAAAACATGCAAACGAGGGTTCAAATATTTTGTCTGTATGGCAGGCATATCGTGCTACATCGCTTGAGTATGATAGCCATCTGAAGAGGCAGAAAAGGTCAATAATCATCGGGATTCAACACAGCGCTGCTTAAATTTGTGTCAGTGTGTCTAGAGCAGTGGTATTCAACCTGGGGTACGCGAAGACATCTTAGGGGGTACATGAAATTTTTAAAAAAAAAATTATTTTATGATAAACACTGAATAATCTGTAATGTAATTTATTTAATTTATTTTAGATGTAGATTATATACTATGTATAACTTGAATTATACACCAACAAATTTGGGGGTACAAAGTTGAAGAGAAATTATATCTGGGGGTACGCGAACAAAAAAAGGTTGAATACCACTGGTCTATTTTCAGTGTAGAAAACAATACTGGTGTTCAGTACATCACAAATCAAAGTATAAAATCAATATATCCTCAGAGAAAAACATAAACTCAAGAATTTCTTGGATTGCGCTTTATATATGGATGCAAATGGCATACGTACTCACGATACAAACTTCTTAGTAACAAATCCTCGCAGTACACCATGCAAAAAAAAAAGGAAGCATAAATGAAATCTTCCAACTTGTTAGAAACGTCCTTCAGAACAGAAGGCAAAATCTTACCTGGCACATTAAGTGACTCCTGTAGCAGTGAGCGACTACTGGAGAAAAAAGGCCTGAGAGAGGGTTTAGGAGTTGACGAGATGCTCATCGTGTCAATCTCGGGACCAGAATCACTCAGATCTTCGAGCTCTTCAAACAAATCTTCTATCTCGGTAGGGTCTACACCGCCCCCTGAACGTACACAAAGCACAATTTCAGTCTGTTCAATTTAACAAGCCTCACTCAAACGGTTAAAACTGATGAATTCATTCAGACACTTCGTCCCTCCATTCCTAACATTTGCGATCGACACGAGCCGAAATGAAGGACGTGAGCCCTTCTGCACGTTCATTTTCTAATGAATCGTCATCAGTCTATATAACAGACTAAAGTTGGTTGGTTAGATGCTTTTAATTTTTTAAAGTCACTAAAAAGACTGTAAGCAATGTGGAAACATAGTCTACTCACTGACTCGTAATTACTTCTCATCTTATTAAGAAAATAAATTAATGAACTGCAATCTAGCGTGTCGGACCTAACAAAGTACCGAACGGAAGAGGAGAATTGAGGAGGCCATGGACCGAATACGAACCGGAGAGCCATAGAAGAAGAAGAAGAATCTAGTGTGTGCATTCTCCATAAGTTTCACTGAAATAAGTGAATACATGTTTTAAACATTTTTCTTTCCTTCTCTATTGATTAAACTGTTAGTGTATGCTGTTCCATCAATTGACTGTTGACAGAACGGCACAGATTCAGAGGACCTCAACCCAGATCTGAGATTAAGAATGTGTGAAGTTTTACATTGAAATAAAATGAAAGAATATATCAGCCGCCTCGTACAATTGGTGACGTATAATACGTGGCGTAAAGAACTTTCTACTTTTAGTGAGTTCACGAAGAATGCACTTACCTGAAAGTTGTTGCCCGATCGCTTCTTGGTCGTTATCAAGTCCCTGAAGATCTTCGCTGACACGAAACCTCTTCAAGAGCGCAATGAATTTCTGTTTTAAATTACGTTGCTGTCAACAGAATAGCACGAAAAATAAAATTAGAAACTACGGTCAGCTTCATATTAACTTTGGTGCCCGTCTTTCTTAATGACTCGTCCACTCCATTACGCTACCATCACTATCACCGTATCAGCACAACTTAACTTTAACGCAGGCTATAAAAATGCTTAACATCTACACAGATATATAGGGGAGGGTCCAATGGACTGCTGAACTGATGTAGGAAACAAAAAGTGCATATGAAATCTTGGCTGGAAAATCTGACGGAAAGAGTTACCGGTCTTGGATAATTTAATGCAATTATCTCAAACTGCATAACGCTGAAAGGTGAATGACGGTAACAGAAGAAGTAATGATCTATCTTATGGAAATATCCCAGCATTTGAAGATTTCAGTCTTCTGGGTTGTAATGCCATGTGGTCTTGTGGGTTCATATCAAAGTTTTGCTGAAATATGCTGACCTGAAGATGGAGGCAGCATGTTCCTCCGAAACTCCGGTATTTACCTACAAGTCCACAATGTCTTACTGTCCAGGAGACCAACATTGACACAAACCAATTCGCTTTTCGTCTTGCGAGATTTTGATACTGCGACAGTAAAATACAAGGAGGACATTACCCTGGCGTTTGCGGGAATCTTCGCCCTGGCTGTCTTGCGAGCCCTTCTACCCATCGCGTCTTCTGGCATTGGTTCGGAATCCGAACCCTCGGCTTCACCCTCGTCGTTGCTACTGAACTCCTCCTCGTCGTCTGAGAAGTCGGCCACGCGGTCTGCGAACAAGGACAGTCACACTCGCTGCATTCCTATCAAGCGCATGAAGCATGCTGCCTACGGACACTGAGAAGAAACACGTCTTGGACCAAACGTCGGAGTGAAATACATGGTACTGCTACTTCGACCTCGGGAGGTCCCGAGTTCGAATGCTTCCCCGATTAACGGTCCGACATCACCGAAGTTTTTAGTGGTTTTTCGGTCTCTGCAGAAACCTTTAAATACCTTTCCAAATTCGTAATTCTCTTCTCAAATTCTGGGTTAATGCCTTAAAATATGCGTCCCTCCACCTTCTCCAAAAACCACTCTCCGTCACAAAATCGCTAAACAAAACTGTCCATATAGGAGTACATCCAGTTTAAAATGAAACATCCAAGGTTGTTTTGAAGGTTCCCCGATGCAAATATAAACGCAGACCATTTACAGTCTCGCAGAGGCGTTGAGTGGTAATTTACGCACGCACCTGAGGCTAAACAGTGTTCACGGATTCAGTCTCGTCAGAGCGGTGGACGGAAGCTGTTTCACAGCACGCGGACGTCTGAAAGCGCACTGTGTTGGTTGATAAATTAATTAACCTACATTTTCTTGGCTTTTCAGCACGCAATGAAGAAATATTATGCAGTAATTCGCTACACAAAATTATACCAATGGCAAGATAAATTTCGTAAAAGTGGAAAAGATCTACACTTCCTAAAACTTGTCAAATCAAATATTTTTTCTCTCTCCAGATTTCCTTCAAATAAGTTCGTAAAATTAATAAATAATGGGAACATTCCCACCCGCGTGTCTGTTCACACTTGTAATCAACGGAATTAATGAACAGATTTTCATACAACCGGCTAACAGTTATCCTGCAGCTGTCACAGACTGCATGGAAATTAGAAATGACGTGGGGAATGGCCGTGGTCTATTTTAACGCACAATCCCAATACATCCCCAGAGAAAATAAATACGCCAGGATTTCCAGTGGGTGGGTACTTGGCAAATGCAAACCAACAGAACAAACCGGAAGACGCACACATCAACGTCGGAGCGAAGGCAATGGGTGAGGAACTGGGAAGGAGACGGCAGAAGCCGATTGTGGCCTACTAGGTAAGTTAAATGAAACACGCGTTTTATGAAATGACTGTCACACTCACATTGCTTGAAATCCATCCATTAATCTATCACGACTACAGATTTTTACGCTGCGTGAGTTATGTTGAAAGGGACGACAAACATCACAACTGTCAGGAGGTCACGGAAAGGCATAAAATGAGATAAAAAGTCAATAACAGCATATAAAAAAAAATTTCGTAATTTAAAACCGTCAGAAGGTCACTCAAAACCGAATGAAACTCATTTTCAAAAACCCACACACAAAAAAATCTCCAATACCGTCTGTTTTAACGGGTAATATCACAGACATTTTACCCATCAACTATCTCGCCCGACGTATAACAAGCGACGTTTCCGTAGCAACAGGAAGCTCTCGCAGAGATGACGAAGAATTGCATGAAAACTGCGTCACTGTACCATCGGCACGCCCAGCAATAAACCCAGTCGATACGTAATTAATAACGACTTTCAATGACGCCACGCGAACGAATTCAAATTTTCAGTCTCGCACTTCTCACAGAAAACTAAAAACCCAAGAAATGAGATGAACGATCAAGGGATGGTTGAAGAATGGTCCAGAAATGGTCTGAAGGATGAAATGACGGCTGCACCTACGAACGACTTTGCCTCCGGGGAAAACTCAAATCCCAGTACTGAAAAAGGTGAGCCACGGATGAAATGTTATTTTTGGAGAGATTAGAGGCGATACAACGTAACAGAAATGTTCGTGCTCCGTGTCACGACAATCTCCAAGCCTAGCACGGCCAGGACTCGGTGAAAGTTTTGCGTGGGGTTGCCACGAAACGGTCGAAATAAAACGCGAATGGTTTCACGAACGCAAAACAACTTTGCAGGTACAGTACCTCGCAGGGATCGTTAAACAATTCGGCCGCGTACACGCGTGTGAAAAATATGGATTAACGATCAGTAACGCTATTGAAATACGCAAAATAAGGCAATACGAGTCTATTTACTTGTGGATGTAAAGGCCATCCGCGAGATAACCTATTCGGAATATGAATACACACTCGTAAATAAGCGATTTCAGCAATGTCTATTTTTAATGAATGGTTTTGCTAATATAAAATAAAATCCCGTAAAATATTTCTTTAAATAAAGAATATAACAGATAAATACGCTGAGATTCTCTCAAGCAAACCCATGGCAGTATTATCCTATTCCACTACAAAAAAAAAATCAACGATTTCTCCTTCTTATAAAAGCCTGTTGTACGCTAAATAAAACGCAATCCCGCGAGGCACACAACGATTATATATAAAAAAATTAAATTCATTTGTGAAGTGAAGTAACGCCATTTCGAGTGAGGATATTTATATCAAAACAAAGTCTTCGGCCAGCGTCGCTTAAAAGCCATTTAAAGGCCTTCCATATCGAAGGCTCTTGGATGTTACGTAACCAAACTCATGATAGATCGACACATGACACGAAATCAAAGCCTCATTACACATTTCGAACATTTTTCGAAACGACTAATGAAATGGAAACAAAATTTTCTTCTGACAGTGTGCACTGTGATATCTGCAGTGTTAAATGGGCCAGAGGAACGTTTCGCCTCCATATTCGGGGTGAAGGCTGAATACGAAGCCGACAACAACTCACGCCTCCATGGGCGTATCTTTTGCGACGATGATCACAGGTGGCGTAGACGATGTGACCTTACCTGCTGTCTCGCTCAGCGCCATGTGCTTAACTGCATCTTCGTGGTCGACGGGCTGGCTGTTCAGGGCCTGGACTGACACTCGAGCCACGACGTTACTGATCGCACCGAGGCTCTTGTCCTTGATATCGCTGAATAGATCGAGCTCCAGGTCCATCTGCCTCTGCAGCACCTGCCACGGCAGACAGACACACACACAGATACAATCACAGAACGACTTCAGACACGAAGCGCTCGGCAAATCGTGTGGACACAAGAAAGATGAGAAACTTAGCTACGATTCACTACACTGAGGCGACATGAAATGCGTACATAAATTTGGTGAGGAAATTTTGCGGGAAAACAGGCACTTGGAAGCCCGAAAATGATACAGGATAACATATGGATGATGTTTTTGACAGCCTTCTGGGATACTGCGTTGCGTAGTCTCGTACAAGTTGCGCAGTGGTTGCTCATGATCATCGCCCTGATGATGGAGGCAGTGCAAACCTGCGAAACATAGGTCTAACTTCCACGAGACCACAGAATATGCCAGAAGGTTGCAATCTTCATGTTCGCGGCCGTGAGAAGACGAAATCTCGAGATTAAGTGGATCTTTGGGAACTTGTGAGGACGGAATGTAGAATGAAAAGGACTCGGTACCGAATATAGGACCTATTCATTTCAGTCTGTACAATTCTGTTCCTACCAGCAAGCCTAAATTTACTCACATTACGTGGTTTACCTACGATCGTAAATATCTGACTGCTTATGTATCAAGCATTCGGAAAGTGAGATTAAAACCCCCCAAAAGGAATGACATCTTTTACGCAGACATCGGCAGACGTGACGAATTGAAAGCGGTGAAAAGAATATAGTTGTTTCATGCAAATATATATTTAACAGACACATTTTTAAGTCTTCCTCTACGCCAGAGCTCAGCCTCTCGTAGCATCTGCTGTACGCCGTGCTGGGACTATCAGGCTGTGGGCACTACGCCACTGAATCACGCGTTCAAGGTGCCCCATCGGCCCCACGTGACCAATATTTTGTATTTGCAACTGGATATCATTACAGTGACCTTGAAATCACAGGGGACCACCTGCCACACGCGCGTCAACACAGATAACGCCACGCGCACGGCAAACGCTAACATACAATTCAGGACGTTCCCTGAAATGTCTTCCCAGGCGCATGGTCCATATATGAAGATGGCAGGTGCAATTTTAACCGAAACATTTGAAATAGCTTATCCCAGAAAGCCAAAGTTATGCACAAAATTTCGGGCGTGAAAACATAACGCAGTAAGTAGCAAAGTAATTTTAATTACAATTGTAATCATGAAAAAAATCGAGATTATTAAACAAACGAAACACCGCGGCGGAACTTGTGAGGACGGAATGTAGAATGAAAAGGACTCGGTACCGAATATAGGACCTATTCATTTCAGTCTGTACAATTCTGTTCCTACCAGCAAGCCTAAATTTACTCACATTACGTGGTTTACCTACGATCGTAAATATCTGACTGCTTATGTATCAAGCATTCGGAAAGTGAGATTAAAACCCCCCAAAAGGAATGACATCTTTTACGCAGACATCGGCAGACGTGACGAATTGAAAGCGGTGAAAAGAATATAGTTGTTTCATGCAAATATATATTTAACAGACACATTTTTAAGTCTTCCTCTACGCCAGAGCTCAGCCTCTCGTAGCATCTGCTGTACGCCGTGCTGGGACTATCAGGCTGTGGGCACTACGCCACTGAATCACGCGTTCAAGGTGCCCCATCGGCCCCACGTGACCAATATTTTGTATTTGCAACTGGATATCATTACAGTGACCTTGAAATCACAGGGGACCACCTGCCACACGCGCGTCAACACAGATAACGCCACGCGCACGGCAAACGCTAACATACAATTCAGGACGTTCCCTGAAATGTCTTCCCAGGCGCATGGTCCATATATGAAGATGGCAGGTGCAATTTTAACCGAAACATTTGAAATAGCTTATCCCAGAAAGCCAAAGTTATGCACAAAATTTCGGGCGTGAAAACATAAGGCAGTAAGTAGCAAAGTAATTTTCATTACAATTGTAATCATGAAAAAAAATCGAGATTATTAAACAAAAGAAGCACCGCGGGACGTGACCTGAGACGTGATTGCGTGCGACATCATGGCTGTACCTACTACGGGAAGAATACTTTCTGTGCATTTAATATTATGAACATGGCTACAACGCGAAACTGATGAGAGTTTAATAACATGTGCCAGAGAAATTCACAAACCACGAACTAATCAATCATCCAATTAACTCCACACAACAGAGCCCTTCTTGGAACCAGAAGATTCATTACCCTGCTCAAACGAGCCCGCCCACCTGAGCCAGATCAATCCAATCCACAAGCCCAAATCCGATTTCCCTAAGATCCATTTTAATATTATCCTCTGACCTAAGTTTAGGTCTTCGCTTTAGGCTTTCCAAGTAAAATTTTGCATTTCTCCCCATGCATGCTACAAATTGTGGAGCTCCTCGTCACGTATTTTTCTCTAGATTCCTGTCACTTCATCCGTCTTAGGCCGAGATATCCTCCCCGTCCTCAAACATCTTCCTCTAACGCACTAATCACCAAGTTTTATAAATATTAATTTATCATATTTCATCGGAAAGCGAGCATCGTAAGCAGGGGCACAGATGTGTACTACAGAACGTAAAATATATCTCAAAGCATATATAAATAAATAAATGAATAAATAAAAAGAGCTTAATAGTAATCTGGTAGCAGACTCCTTTAATAAATGGGCCCCAAGCAGGTGGGCGGATTCCTACGTATAAAACAACGATGAATTGATGATGTCTGGCACGAAGAGGAGGGGAGGGGGGCCTCGTACGCCGCCCCTTCATCAGTGACGTCACAGAAGTCTTGCTTACACGCAAACATCACGCGGATGCAAATACGACTAACGCCATCTGGATACTTCGGTACTTCACCAGGTTCACAAGAAAAACCACTAGACAATACTCTGAGCCTCGTCTTCAGAGACGTAGAGCAGTGTAGTCTTGGCTGCCGCCCTGATGATGGAGGCGTAAAGCACATCCGAAACGTCGGTAATCTTCCACCAGACTTCAAGTAGCAACAACCCAGACGACAGTCAACTTCAAACCTCAGTTTCATCTGAATCGATTCACAACAAATTATGTTCCGCGATATCTTCGTGAACTTTCCCATCTAGCCCCTCCCATTTCAGTTTTCGGGGCTTGGAAACACAGGAAGTGACTGTTTGAACTTTCGTTCCGGGTCACGTGAGTTCTCGTCGTCTGACGTAAAGCAGACAGTTGCAAAGATGGCGACAGGATGTTGTAAACAGACATCGTTTAAATATTTTAACAACCGTTCAAATTCTTCGCTTCACAGCACTGATTCATGCGAGCGCCGGTGGTAAGTCAGACAACAGAAGTACTACTTACCTGGTGAGTGGTAACTATATGTACCATCTGCTTTAATTTTGTATTTTTTAGTTAATCTTGGTATTTGGAACCAGTCTCGAGAATTCCACAGCCTACAAAACAAATGTCGAATTGTTTTATCATAACCTACGGCGTGAGGAAATTTAAATCGTTCAGTTTGCGCACACAAAACTCGTGGAATCAAGCACGTACGCACAAAACAGAAATTTAAAGCCTAATAAACACTGCGATAAGCAGCTTGAGCTAAAACGGAGCTTAATGAACGAGATGTTAATCTCGTATTTCATTTCTGAAACTGTCATGTAATAGGATTACAATTTTAATAAAATCTATACCGTATATTAATAATCATTTAATAAATAATTCCGAAGAAAGTAAATGAAAGTCCTATTAATGTCACGTGCTCCTCCTGAATGAGATCACTCAAGAATATTTTCAGTGAAAATTCTTGCAAAGGCAGCGATACGTAACTGAGGACTGCCACGACATGCGAGATTCGGGCGGATTCACGAAAATAATACGGAGACTCAAGCCCGCGTAAGAGCGAATGATCTTTCGATTGTGTTCTTTGACATCGTCATGTCAAAGAACGGTGTTGAAGCAAGGCTACAGATTTAACTAAC